AGGCTAAAAGAAGTATCCTGAAAAAAGTCCTATTCCGCAACTCTCCATTCTTCTGAAACTGTTCTTCCGCAACTATTTGGTACTCTTCCGCAACTACTCTTCAGAAACTATTCTTCAGAAACTATTTCGCGATCTTCAGAAACTTTATTTGTGCGCTTTAGAAAGTATTCTTCAGATTTTTTACAATATGTAGCCAAATTGCATGAAGGAGCACTGGGTGGGTGGGGGTGGAAGGTGGGGGGTGGGTGGGTGGATGGGTTATTGACGTACCTTGTGACGGCTACGGTATATACATGTTTGTTTTGCGATCTGCAGAAAGATTTCCGTGCAGGTTTGATGTTGCTCTTCGACTCTTTGTAGTTTCCGAACTTTCTGATGAACACCGTAGAGTTTCCGAAGATTAGTTTCCGAAGAAAACCGTAAAGTTTCCGAAGATCATTCTGTGCTTGAACCCATTTGATACATTGTTTAGTTATTTCATACTTGCTCGCATGTTAATGTTGCAAGCATTGTTGGACTCATTTCTCGACCGCATTGTACACGTTCAAGGGAGTCGACAAATGGAGTGATTATGCACAATAAAACTTTTGAATGTGTATAACGAGACAATACTTAGAGATGAGCGCAGCATGAAGTGGATGAAAAATTTCTAGCGAAGTGTCTATATAGCAACTAGTAACTCTATTTTGGACTCTCTTTAGACATTGTTGGCATTGTTGAATCTTTTTTGATCCCCTTGAACTTGTCAATTTTTCAGGGAGTCCAAATTATACTAGTTTTGGTTGCATTTAGTGAAATAAACTTTGCACTCGCAACCAGCTGACGTTTATGCCACCGTTATTAGCAATAAATATACAATTGCAACTGATGCAAAGGATGCATTCATGAAAGATATATTTGGACATAGACTACTGAGAGGAGTGGTACAGACCTGACTTGTTCCATACTTTGCACAAAGGAGTAATGGCTGAGTTTGCTGGCAGCGGACTTGTTTCTCACAAGAAACTGAATGCTCTTTTGTTTTTCTTCGTCGTTCGAACCCAAATTTGTAATATTAACACATATCACAAATCTAATCTTTTCACCCCAAAACATCTGTACATGTGCTCTGATTTGTACTTAGCTGCAGGTTGTCCTTTTGGACCATGGCTTTGATGGGCACAGCCGGGATGTTCCGAAACGTCTTCACTCACTTTATTTGGAGATGAAGGTTTGGTGCCAGAAGAATAAAAAGATTCCGTTGCATATGAGTGACCTCACACGAACGATCCTGCTCATCAGTATCCAATCAGTACATTTGTTCATCAGTGTCACTCCATGCATGGCCGCTGAGTTGTACTAGCGCCGCACCTCCAATGGGCAAGCTTCGAGACATTAAGGCCACATTCAAGGAAGAGAAGAACTTGGGCATGGTGGAGCCTTTCGCCCTGATGAAGCGGCGGCATTTTGCCAGCGCAAGGTGGATGACCTCTGCCCAGGCCCTATGGCAGCCATCGATGAGGGTGACAAATGTTCGAACCATCTATGACAGTTCCTGGGGAGGTGCCAACAGCTGGACGAGAAGCAGGCAAGGCTAAATCCAGGGCCGGGAAGGCCCGTGACAAGCCGACGAGGTCCCAAATGCACCGCAACAAGCTCAAGGAGCGCATCCGGGAGCCACTCCTCGGTTTCCATCCGCGCCGCTTGTGCCCCCGCGGCGCGTTCGCAGTACCGCACCTGGCAGGCCCACCCGGCCTATGTTGCTGCCCTTTGGACATCTCGGCAATGGGGCTTCTTGAGTGCGACTTCTCCACCGAGTCTCACGTCGCCAGCGCAGCCACTTACGATGAGGCAGATGGTTCTTGTGCCCACAGAGAGCATGACCGCTGACTCTCTCACAATGTCAATGCAGTCTCTGCCCATGTTTGCGCTCCTATCCACCGGCCTGGTGAAGTTCAAGAACGAAGAGAAGCATCCAGTCTGGTGAGAAACCTGCCAAGCTTGGACCAGATCTCCGAGGATGACCTGCTGATGACTGACGCAGATCATCGAAGCTTGCGACGATGGCAAGCAGTGTTCTTGCTTTGACGATGCTTGCAAAAAAGAACACATGCTGAATCATCGCACGTCGCACAGCCCTCCCGTCATCCCCTGAACCATTCGCACCGACGTCTGGTTGGGAGCCGATTTAGTACCTCATGGTCTGTGATGAGGCTTGGACATGAGCCCCTTGGGTGACTACGATGGTCTCATCGAAACCGCTCTATAGATCACCCAGCCGATGGGAGCCATTGACAGTCTCAACGAAAGCTCAAAGGTAGCATGTTTCATTGTTTATCTTGGAAGCTGTCACAGCTCAGAGTGGACGTGGTAAGCCTTCAACAGGATTACGGCCTGTCCGCCGAGCAGGCAGCGTAATTTATCCGACAATGGAAAAGTGAGCCGGTATCAATGATGTCTCAAACAAATGCCACTACTATGTGCCATGGACAAGGATGCCTTGAAGGACCTCAATGGAGCCACAAACCACTGGGAACGAAAATCCCCTGTGTTCGTAAGGCTATGCACAATGCGTACCATCGATGGGGAGGCAGTATAACTTCCCACATCGTCGACACTCGATCCCCTTCGGCCTTTGTTTGACAGAGTGTCCCTCTCACAACTAATTGGGCGCTCCCGTTTTTGTAAACAAGGCGCAGCCTTAAGTTTTATGTTGACGGCTGGGTTGTGCCTGATTTTTGCGATCATAAAGCATGTCCCTTTTAGTTTTAATCGACTGTTAAGTGTACGTATGTATAGGTCCTGTTCGTGCTTGAAGCATGTCCACCGGGGTGTATACAGGAAGGTCTTTACCAAACTTAATCACTTGAAATCAGACGCTTCAAGACCTCATGACCTGGCTTGGTGTTGGGACACCTGTACCTATAGTGCATGTTTTGTGTGTTTCTGGTGGATCCAGTGCAGGTACCAGCTGCAAGCGCCGAATCTTTTTCAGCCAATGACCTTAAGGCTTTGGCCCGCGTGCCGATTGGTCGCGCCGGCTTGGTCGCGGATCGAGGCGAAACCACGAGCGCACCCCGCATGGATTAGATGGGCTAGTGGAGTTCAGCACCTTGCCCTAAGAATCCAGTTTTTTGAGGGTCCAGACCCCGGCTATGGAGGGTCCGACCCCTGCCATGGAGGGCCCAGGGTTAGTCCTTCCAGGCGCTGGACCATTCCCTCCGATGTGTCGGTCCCACCGATGGGTCCCACCGATCGGCCCTTCGGGCGTGAAACTTCCGACCTCGTGAGCTCGCTCGATCCATTTCACAGTGTTGTTGGACTGGCAAACGCCTTGTGCGTTGATTGAGAGAACTGGACAGGGTGATCCAACGGTGAGGATAATGGGCAAGATTATAAGCCTTGGCAAGTACCTCCCTGAAAAACTTAAGCATCAATACGTGGTACCATCTTCCTCTACCAACCGTGGTTTGGGGCAATATTGCATGGTATTTCCACCTTCAAACCTTATTGCGGCTCGGGGGGACACTCCTACAGTCCTACAGTACTAGAGATCCAACAGGACAAAAAAATTGGTTTCACCTTGACGTTTTCCACCCAAGAAGGACTCCAGTCGTACCTTTTGAGAAGGTCTTGGGGTGGGTTTGGGTACCAGGATCCAAATACCCTCTAAACCGGAGCTTCTTGAACATCCGCCATCCGCCAAGCCAGACATCCGCTCCGCGGCTCGGGGGTTCAGCCTTTGCCCCGACCCCTCCGCCCAGTCCATCGCCCAGCGGCTTTCCCGCGCTGCTCGGCATTAGGTCGATGAGTTGATGGGTCCAAGTGCGTTGCTGTTTTCGTAAAATGTGGTTCGAGCAAAATCATGTTCCAACAAAAAACAATCACCAACACACCTTAATTTGCCACGAGCATCACGCACTAAGTCACGTACTAAGTCCTTTTTGTTCACGTGGCTCGGCTCCCAAATCCATGGTTTGTTGGAAACATCCAGGCAGCCATTGGAAAGACCTGTTGTGCCGGCCACTGTATCGTTTGACATTGAAACCCAATTCGAATGGCTTGGAATAAAAAACAGTACATTTCAGAAGGGTCCCCTGAAAGAATGGGAATCAAACCAACCAGCATTGCTGAAAGAACCTGTTCTTGTTTAAAAAGAAGGATGGTTTGAACCATCAAACTCTATAGGTTGTTTGTTGATAAAACCTCACGGATGTCCACAGTATTGTGGTGTTTTCGTACGGGGTCTGTGGATGTCTGTCACTCTCGGTGTCCGATGTGCGATGGGTGGTTTTTGTGGACGGGGTGAACTGAGACGAAAGCACCTGGCTGTGATGAGTGGAAACTGTGATATTGATTTAAAAAAAAGGTCGACAAATCTATGAAGAGGTGTGTTTGAATTCCATGTTTTGGAGGGGTGGTTTTGGTTCATCCAAGAGATCAAAAAAACTGTTTCCTGTTGGAACTCTGCGGTTCAAGTTGACGGTGTTCTGCGGAGTCGGAGATACGTATACTTACAGTCTGTTACAGTTGCTCGAGCCTGACCCCAACGTTCGGGTATATAGAACCAATGGCATCAGCCTTCACGGAACTTGCCTTCCAAACATAGCACATCTAAATCGACCGACCATGAATGGTTAGTGGAACATCAACCGAAACCTAGACGTGGCGTAATGATTTCCCCACGAACCACGTTCTGCCCGCGGTAGGTTTGATACTAAGTAGGGCAGGCAGACCACGTGAGCCTTCTCATCGGTTGCCCGTTTAGAGTGCAGAGTGACTCTTTGGCTTTTGCTGCCTCCATGCGGATTTAGACTGTGGGTTAGTTAGCACACGTGGCGAATGGGATTGAATACAGGAGGAATCAGCTCTTGGCCCAGTTGAGGGGCGCAAGAACGAGATCAGGAAGATCAACAATAAAAACATATAAAAACAGCTTTCTGCGGGTCTCTATTTTCCAAAAGACATGCAGACAAAAGTCTCAGTGCGGCCACACCACACTCCGCCGCTCCTTCTTCACCTTGGCTCAAGCATTTGCGAAGAAAAGAACCTAGTTATGCTGCGTGATGCTCCTGAACTGGATCAATCCCCGTACCTTTTTGGAAGAGCCAAGCTTCCGCAAATCGAAATGGACCCAAGCCAACCTCGGTCAGCGAGCCAACCTCGATCGTCCACCTTCGAAATGGACGTGGCGGCCGGCGCCGGAGGCAGTGCTTTGCCGGTGTGCCAGGTGCCAGAGAGCTGTACGACCCTGAGACGGAACTTGGTGATGTGTTGAGATGTCTTTTTCCGAGGTCAACAAAATGAGGATTGCACATTGCAGATGACGTGGTTTCAATCCACATGTTTGGCCAATTTATATGCAGGAAATGGTTTGTTGGTTGAACAAATGTTTGCCTTAAACATAATATACGCGTGCAGGAAAATTTGCAGGATGTGTTTTGTTGGTTTGCCAGGATCAGAACAACATCCTGGTCTCTTCAGTGCAACGACTCACCCTCCGTTTCGCATCTGCGATCAGGGCGATGTTTGGTTGGATGCCTGGTCGTGTTGGGCAGGTTTCGCCTGCAAGAACGGTCAAAGGAGATCTGGCGGAGGAGTTTGCAAGCTCGAGGAGAAGAGAGGTGGGACCCAACGGCGCGGCTCAATCCGCAGGATTCTCCCTCTATCTCAAGAACATGCAAGTAGATAGTATGTCCCTGTGGAACTTTGGAACACGATTTCCTCTACAAGCACATCTACAGTATATGTCGCAGGGGGATGGGTTAAAGCACCCATCACTTGTTGGGTTGTTCAGCATGGTGTAACCTCCGACTTGGGGATGTTGGAAGGATAAAATCTTGCTGCAAGCGCCTTTGTTTGCTGCTGAGAGCTTTTTTGCTTTGCAGTTCACATAGCACTGTAGGAAGTCAGCTACCTGGGCAGGATACGTACCTATTTGGAAGAGGAAGCCACCAAACAAGGGTTCCGGCGATTCATCTCAAGGTCCAAAGGCGCTGTGGAAGGAACCGATGAATTGGTGCAGAAGCTGTGCGAAGCAGAGACTGAAAGACACCTGGATGTGACAGCAGGAGTTGTGGTTTCTTCCTGCGTGCCAAAAAGGGATTTGACACCTCAAACAATTCTGTGTGTGTTTTTTGGGCAGGTGAAATTCTGACATGCTGGAGCTCCTGGAAACTACATGACATCATGGGGTTACCAGCCCATAATGGTTGAAGATACCAATGCTTGTTTCTTGTGGAAGTTAAAATAGACAGCTGTGATATGTTTGCATGGGAGAGCTCCCCATGGAGAAGGCGTGGCCCTCAGTTAGTAAAGTTGATGAGACTTGTTGGTTATCTAATGACAAGACACTCCATGGAACTGACATCATTGGGGTGGTTGAAAGGGGTCAATGCAAGCGTATATATAGTGTTGGGCAACGACCAGTCCAAGGAAATCTTGAGGCCTCTCTTGAATCCATGCTGCTACCGGAAGTGAGGCGCTCCAAGGCAATCCTTCAGCAGGTTTTGAGGAAATTGTCCGAGCAAAAACGAGCGAATCTGTTGTATGCTACTTTGAAGACCATCGAGGAAGATGGCGGCATAAAGTTAGAAGACTCCAACTGTACAGTTGGCATATCAACCTGCGCGAGGGCAAAAATGTGGCAGCAAGCCTTGAAGTTGTTGGAGGTCATGCCCGAGATGAAACTTCAACCCAATGTGATCAGCTACAATGCGACCATCAGTGCCTGTGAGAAGGGCGGGCAATGGCCACAAGCCTTGAAGTTGTTGGAGGCCATGCGCGAGATGAAAGTTCAGCCCAATGTGATCAGCTACAGTGCGGCCATCAGTGCCTGTGAGAAGGGCGGGCAATGGCCGCAGGCCTTGAAGTTGTTTGAGGCCATGCGCAAGGGGAAAGTTTCGCTCGACGTGATCAGCTACAATGCGACCATCAGTGCCTGTGAGAAGGGCAGGCAATGGCCGCAAGCTTTGAAGTTGTTGGAGGCCATGCCCGAGATGAAACTTTTGCCCAATGTGATCAGCTACAGTGCGGCCATCAGTGCTTGTGAGAAGGGCGGGCAATGGCCACAAGCCTTGAAGTTGTTGGAGGCCATGCGCGAAATGAAGGTTCAGCCCAATGTGATCAGCTACAGTGCAGCCATCAGTGCCTGTGAGAAGGAAGGGCAATGGCCACAAGCCTTGAAGTTGTTGGAGGTCATGCCCGAGATGAAACTTCAGCCCAATGTGATCAGCTACAATGCGACCATCAGTGCCTGTGAGAAGGGCGGGCAATGGCGGCAGGCCTTGATGTTGTTTGAGGCAATGCGCAAGGGGAAAGTTGCGCTCGACGTGATCAGCTGCAATGCGACCATCAGTTCCTGTGAGAAGGGCGGGCAATGGCCGCAAGCCTTGAAGTTGTTGGAGGCCATGCCCGAGATGAAACTTCAGCCCAATGTGATCAGCTACAGTGCGGCCATCAGTGCCTGTGAGAAGGGCGGGCAATGGCCACAAGCCTTGAAGTTGTTGGAGGCCATGCGCGAGATGAAAGTTCAGCCCAATGTGATCAGCTACGATGCGGCCATCAGTGCCTGTGAGAAGGGCGGGCAATGGCGGCAAGCCTTGAAGTTATTTGAGGCCATGCGCAAGGGGAAAGTTTCGCTCGACGTGATCAGCTACAATGCGGCCATCAGTGCCTGTGAGAAGGGCGGGCATTTGCGGCAAGCCTTGAAGTTGTTGGAGGCCATGCGCGAGGCCATGCGCACTGCTGCAACCAGCTTCAATCGATAAGTTCGCTTGGCGACAGGCATGCCACCAGCCTATCAGATGAAGCAGCGACCTTCTCTTGGAAGATTAATATTCTTTGAGTTCCATCCAGCCATCGCAGAAGACCAGGCTACATGTGATTGAAGGTTTGAAGTTCCCCAAGGCATCTGACCACTTAGCCCATGATCCACGTGCCGCAAGACAGATACAAAAGTCACCTTTGACTCAGTGATCAATCCCTTCAGATGGCTATGGGTCAACTCCCTCAGTTGACCAGAGAAAATGAACAGAATAGACTACTGGGAGATCAACCTACCAGGGTGAAAGTGATCGTGGGAGTTTCAACCTCGCCCACCCCTTAGACTCTTGTGAGCGGTCAATGGTTTAGTCGTTGATGGCATGTTGATGGTCAACCTTGACCGGGGGATGAGTCATCATGGACCTTGTGAATATAATACTGTATATTTATACTGTATATTTAGAATATAGATGCATAGATATTCATCTTGACAGGACACCTCCAGAAGTCACAGTTTGCCATTCAGTAAAGAATCAGTTTGGCCGCCATCGAGGAATTCACTCCTGAGACGGATTCCTAACCCCAGAGGTTTCAGAAATCAGAGCCTTTGGGGAAGGGGCCATTTGCAAGAGCCTTGCGTCCAGACGAGTTCGGCGTCCAGACTCGTCAGGAAGCTTCGATGTCCACGATGTCCGTGGTGGTCGCGGCTGGTTTCGTCCACCTCCCTCACCGTTCACCATGGGTTGACACCTCCTTTTTTCAGTCGAGGAATCGGTTCTGTGGCGAGTGGCGAGGAGTCAGTGGGTCGGGTGTGGTGCCACCACCCACAGTCTGAATTCATTGTTGCACCAAAGATAAACTCTCTGACATCATCATGGTTACGTGGATGGCATGTTGAGGTCCTTTGATTTGAACCGGCTTTGCAAAGAAACTCGAACTGCATGCAACATTGGAGTAACGTAGGACACGCTGTTTTGTTGGTGAAGAATATCCCTGACATGTCAAGGACTTTGTTTTGTTCTTGTCGACTCCTACATCAAGTGCAAGTGAAGGGGCAAGCTTTACCCTAGAAGTCCAGAGACTATTCTTGGGACCACCGAAGTCAAGGCAATTCCTCTTTGGCTCACCTAAAGCTAGTTTTTAAGACTATATACTTGGACTCCCAAGGTTTATAGTATTTCTGACTGAACTTCCACAAGGTCACAAGGACTGCCCCGGATCCGGGGTACGTTATTCAGACAGACTGAAACCACCATCTTGCCCCAAGGGGTCGATGCCATGCTGCGCATCCAAACCCACGCAGGTGCGGAACAAATGTGACATGAACTCTATGGGGGATTGCTTGTCTGTGGCCAGACACGTGTTTCACGTTTCCCTCGCACAGGCCCCTTAGGATCTAACGAATGTACCACCACCTCGTCCCACCGGGTGATTCCATCCGAACCGACGCGAAGCGAGCATCGCGAGCGCTTACGAGCGAAGCTGTCGCGAAGCCGAGGCCAAGTCCACCAGCAACGGAGCCCGGATTCGGACCCAGCAACAGATGGACCGACAAGTTGCCTCCAACTTGAAGGAGTTTGGGAAGGTAAGTGGTGAGAATATCAAGTCTCCGTACTTTTGGGGTACTCCTTTGGGATGGAGAAGCGTGTGAGGCGCAGGTATGTTTCTTTTTGGTTCGCTCATCTTTGTTATAATCCTGTCCACCTATTAAGATTCACGGCCCCCGCTATTAAAAAGAACCTTGGTCGCATTGTTATTTTTAATAGGGGGTCCCTGAAATCGGGGTTGTCCAAAATAGGGTCACCTGGGAAGAGCTTCAAAACCAAAAAGTCACCCAGGAAACATGTTATACACTAAAATCCTTTATTAGACTCGTATCAAAAATTCAACGAACCTCCAGATCGAACGGTCTTCCTTTTCCCCTACAAAAACCTTTATTGGTTGTTCTTGGAACCTAAAGAAAGACTTCACCAAAATTGGCCATGTTAGTAGTTCAGTAGCGGCTTTAAAGGGCGGTCATTTACAAACGAATATAAACCGTATTTAGGGGGTTCCGATGTGACTTGTTTTTTAATTGGAGTCCGTTTTTAAATAGGTACTCGGGATTAATGACGCTGAAGATCGAAAAGAAGTTTGGTTGCAGAGGTTCCCAAGGCCTGTTGAAAAAGGGCCGGAGGCCATTCAGGAGCTTTTCCAAGGTTGAGGAGGTCAAAGAGCCCATGTGACAGGAACTGCTGGTTAATGAGAAGAATATATTGGACTCAAAATGTTGGGGCGATTCTTTCAGGGAAGGTACTTATTTTTGGACTTGGACATCGGAACAGAGGATCAGACCATCATTGGACAGGGGTACAACACGGTGTTGGACATTGAAGCGGCCAGTGGGACGACTCCGGCCTCCACCCCAGTAGCGATGGCCTCCAACCTACCAGCGATGGCCTTCACATGCCTTTACCCTAGCAGCGATGGCCTCCAACCTAACTGATCCTAACTGTTTTGATTTGGAATGGACGGAATGGACCTTTGATTGTCATGGTCTTGGTGTTCAAAGATTCTCCACCTCGTCATGGGCTTGGAAGACACGGTCGAGTCAGACCACAGGGCCTTTCAGTCCGGCGGCCGCGTGCCGGCCACGGCTCAGGCCGTGTTTCATGGTCGATGAGGTGGGGGGCCGAGAAGGCAAGTCATGTGGGTCGATGAAGTGGACACTCTGACGATGGCGTGGGGCTTGACCCGTGTGTGGAAGACGAGTTATAGACATATTTATTGTTCCATGTTTTTTCTCTTATGAGAGTGAAGAATGACACGAGCATGGACCAATTTACGGAATACGGACTTATTCTCACTTTCATTGTTTTCTCCACTTGTTAGTGAGTTGGATGTTAGTGGGTAGATCAGCCAAGGGCTTCATCCAGTCTCTAAGGGAGCTGGATTGCAGGGTAAATACGGCTTGACCGACGGGAGAAGAAGTCTAGGTGTTTCGTCGCATGTTTTGCTACCTGAGTTGTTTGCCTTTGAGGTGCAGCTAAACGGGAGTCGAACTTGGTCGAGCGGAGTCCGGGAGGCAGAAGACATTGTATCCCTCTGAAGACTTAATTTCCAAAGAGAGCTTGTCCATTGATCGAGAACTCAGCAGGAGGCCTTGGGAATCAGGAAAGATGCTGCAACCTAATTAACCATGGCTTGTTCTTTTGTTAGGTTTTAGATTTCTACCCATTGCTCATTATGTAGCACTGGTGCACCCCTTTTGGGTAGAATACCTGGAGCCTCCTTGTGGAAGATCTGAGGGATTGCGATGCCGCATTGCTGCATGGTCATTCGTCCATGAAGCTGTCGCCATTGACGCGCCACGCAGGCCCGTGACCCTTGGGCAAGCGACGTCCTATCGTTGGGGGTCATGGCATAGGACGCAGATGGAGACGTCTGTGACATGTGGTACAGTTAAAGACTATGAGTCCTTCGATAGGCCTCCAAGACCCAAGTTGACATCCCAGGATCAGAGGATTTGTTTGTTGAGTAAGGGACATCCTGAAGTAGGACCCCAAATGGTCGATAGCTCACCGGAAAACCTGGTCATTCCTTCAGAAACTCCGAGGGGAACTGAGTCAGGTGAGGTGTTGTTGTTCTTGTTTGTGCTGGTTACATAAGCGGGTTTCAGGAGTTGTTCGGTACCAAGTCCACATGTGTTTCAGTCGCTTGACAGAAACTGGCAGCAAAGAACTGCCAGCCTCCTGCCTCAACGGATTGGCCTGGTATGTGTGACCATCATGGTGGGTTTCAGAAGTTCAGCAAACCCTGTAGCAATGCTCAGATCAAGCGAGCCCGCACTGGTTGGGGCAACTGCAGTGGCTGTGTAAGACTTTCTGACATCTTTTGACCTGTCACTATGGCTGCTTTTGCGATGTCATGACCCTGCCGGAATTTCTCAGAGTCCTAAACGGATGGCTGCGATTGGGATAGATCAGTTGGGAGGTGCTGGTGCCAAGAAAGCTGGTAGAAGTTTGAGGATGTTGATGGCCAGGCAGACAGTAGAAGTACTCGTGCACGCATATTATTTTCTCAGTGTTCGTGACCGTGGGTGTCTTAACTGCTTGAAGGCAGGGACATGCAGCAATATAACGTTTTCCCCGAGTGGTTGAAGCCGAACAACTAGTATAAATCTAATCAAACATGTTAAGGCTTGAATCGGGTGGTCTGCTTGAATCGAGTTACACCCGGGAAGAGACCCACACGGAAGCTGAAGAGATGGACCTTCCGAAGACTTGGGCTCAAGTTTCCTCTACACCCCAGCGGTTTTCAGGTTTCATGTCAATCTTCTTGGAGGTAGAAGGTCTTGTTTTTCTTCCCTGCTTTGATAGATGGCCCAGAAAAGGTAGCACTTTTTGCTGAAGTAAGTATGACTTTGATGATTGGCTCGCTGAGCTTTGCAGTACTTTCAGATTTTGTTAGCATGAGATATTTGAGATTATGCATGAGCTATTGAAATTATCTCCTAAGAAATTGTCAGGCAGCCTCACAGCTAGCAGCTACATGTTGTGTTTTTCAACACCTCTGCAATTTCTCAAGATGCTCAAACTATGCCCAGTTCATCCAGAACCCACAAGATGTCTTTAGGTGTTCTCCCTTTGTGAAGACACATCATTTCCAAATCTGTATGTTCAGTTCCTTGATTCAACCTGCCAGCGGAAAGCACCTCCCCCTCCTACAACGGAACTTCCTCTTGCCCAACCACCACAAAACCTCACACGAGGCAACCAGGTCCAGCGTGGTGTTTTTCCCGACCACCGATATCCCGCACACGTACGTCTGAATTGTGATGCCTTCTGAAGGCTTTCAAGCAAAAGCGTCTACAACGGCTAACATCTACAAATTCACCTCATAACCACTAGAAATCACCAACAAAATCTCCTTGAACAGCACACATCACTACCGATATCTATAGATCATTAATGACCAATCATCACAAATCAGCACCGTGTCTCATCCCGACGCACGGACAAAAAAAGAAATCGGGGACAAACACATCACTTGTCGAATGACAAATCCTCAAAGCTTGCTACAAATCCTCAAAGTCAACATGATGGTCCCTCAACATGGACATCATGATGGTTCCATCATGTCTCAACGGAATCCTCAAAGTCTTTTCTCAAGTCGAACACGATGGAACGTTCCATTCATCCTGCTCAGCGTCTCCGCGTCCCCTCCGCGAAGCGGCGGGGAGACTACCGCGCGGATCGTGTCAACGGGGGCGCCGTGTGATCTTGGTGTTACCCTGTGTTACCCAGAGGTTGAACGGCTATATCCCAGACCATATGATACCATATGGTCTCAATGTACCAATATTTTCTAAGTATATATGTTCAAAATAGTTCTATTGTTATGAATGGAACCATATAGTTATAGGTGTTATCATGTGTTCCTATAGCGCATGTCATATGTACCACGGCAACGGTATCAGAAGGGCGGTCTCTCAACCTCCGTCAACCGGCGGCTTGTTTTTTGGTGAGGACGTTCCTAGTGAGTTGGCGTTCGGAAAAGAAAAACAAAGAGGATTGAAATGGATGGAAGGATCCAAGAGAAGGACCAGGATGAGAAGGACTTTCGGTGAGGATTGTTTCGGAAGGATGAACAACTGATTTGTTAAGCTACCAAACATCAGGCCCCATGATCCCGCGCCACACGCGCGAGTGCCGGTCCATGGGCTTCTTGGCCACGGGCCGATTCGGAATGCGCTGTGAAAACGACTCCATGTAGGCAGCATGTCCTGTTGGACCAAGTCTTTTCGAAGGTCCGAAAGACCGCCTGGGGGAAAAAACACAATTCTAGAAAACAAAAGAAATAAGCGTACAAAAAACAACTCTTGAAGCCATAGGATCAACATCTTCACTGACTCGGAGCAGGATACACGACCTCGTCCACACGACCTGTAGGCCGCATTCGAGAGGAGTCGAAGTCATCCGGAGAGCCGAATGTCGCGATCTGAATGTTGGGGTGTGTGTCGAGGTCAAGTGTTGAGGAAATTTGAACAGTCAGGGTTGCCAAGAAGTTGCAGCTTGGGACACAAATTCCGAACGTGCGCAAGTTATGGATCATGTCTTGTGGTTTGGCGCTTTTCTTTGGCCTCGTTTTGGGCTAAAGGGCAGACGGTGAACTGAAAAAATTGCTGGGCGCAATCTGAGTTTGCATCCTGCCTACATGGAGAGACAGGAATTTCAAGCGCCAAAGAGTTTACCACATCAGCCTCATCAGCCTGCTATGGCGGAGAAAAAAACTGTGCAGCACAGGAATCTGCAACACAGGACTTTCATGTCATTTAGCACTTCTTTGGACCATTTTGGACCTCTGGACGTTCATGTCATGTCGTCAGATACTTCGAAGACCAGTGAAGATCATTGGACTCCAACAGCCCTGATGTCATGCAATTATTTAGCAGCCTAGCACTTCCAATGGGTGTCCAATGGAGATCCCTAGGTAGTGTAGGGGCTTCCATTGGTGACCCCTTTGAAGGTGCCGGAGTTTTTTTGTTTGTCTTTTCTGCAGCGTTTCACCGTGCAATTCCGACCGATTGTCATGACCAGATGTGGAATTCCGAGGTGTTTCAAGCTGCTCAAAGAGAGAACGTCGGTCGTCCCAAAAGCGGCGCAGCGGCCGAACCCAAAAGCCCGCACCTTGGGCCCCAGCCAGTGACGATGACGAAGCTGGTTTTCCGTTCGGGTTGTTTCAGCCGTGCTTCATGGGTTGGTGCTTCATGGATCTTCAAAAGTTCTCCACCCGGTTGAGCTGACAAAGTCCGACTGGGTGACCCTCGCTGGTCGCTGAAGGTTCCGTATACTCCTTGACATTGGCACAGTGGAGGTAGCAAGAACAGCAAAGGTTTGTTGTGCAAATCCGATTTGAATGCAATTAGTTTGGTTGTTAGGGCTCCTGTGGGACGTCACCTAACTTGGTGAGAGTCCGGGTTATACCTCCCTTGGTTGGTTCACTAACATCTGGTATGGTAAGCAGAACATGTTCCAAGCCTCACTGGATTTTTTTCCTTGACATATGGGTTGCGACCTGGCGACCAGGGAGGGTTGTGGTTCTGCTTCAACTTGGCCACTTCGATCGAAAACCAGCTTCAGGTGGGTGTTGTTCCCAGACGCTCCATGGGACTGCCATAGGACTGCCGATCAAGCCAGGGGTGGTTGAAAGTGGGTCAATTGGGCGGCAGTCCTATGGCAGTCCCATGGAGTGTATGGGGTTTGCATTCATGGACCGGACGTTTCTGGTCCGCTCGGTCCGGAGGCGAACCCATTCCGATGGACCCTGAGAGTTGGTGAACCATTTGGTGCGCGGTTCAGCTGATGAACGCATTTTTTGTTGGGAGGTATACCAGTGAAAAGGCACAAACTGGGGAAAGTTTTATAGATATTGGAACTGATGAATTTTAAGGCCAATCTATCAGGGTTGACTCGAACTCGTTTTAAAGCTTTTTGGATTCACTTCAAGAGGGAAAGGAAAGGACCTCCAGGTGTTCTCGGCTGAGCCAATGCAGTGGATTTGCAGCGCCACCGTGGCCTCTGTGAAGGCCATGCGAAAAGCAGCAGCCCTGCACCGTGGCCTCCCTTTGCGACGCATGACCCCGGGTCAAGCAGGTGTTCAGCGGCATGCGGCGACAGCGCCTTGGTTGGATGCACGAATTGGACCGCTGGGTGCTGGGAGGTTTTAATGGTTGCTTTTGACTAGTTGGTTCAGTTTCTTGGTGTTGTTCCGGCGACCGGAAGCTCTTTTCATTGATCAGAACCATATAATATAATATTAGTATATGTATGGTTCACACTCATTCCTTGGAGGGCAGGGACCCTCTGAAGGAGCATCAAAGATAGAGTCAGATTCTCAGACTGTGTGTTATGAAGGTCAGGGTTCAGTTTTGCTTTCAGGGTGATCATGGAGGCTTGTTTCCAGTTGAGTTCCAACCAGTAGCAGACAACAATACTCGTCGCTATTTCAGTAGGGGCCGTTAACATTTTTTACCCTTGACCTTCATTCTCCGTTGGAAGCCTGGATAACTAGGTAGGACAACCCATGGCAAGCTGTGCATGTGTTCTTCTCTTGCTCTATTTGCTTCCTCCGTTTCCATGATCCATAATCCATATCAACCCATATCCGCTTGCTCTATCCGTATCCGCGCCTATCCGAGGTGCCTATGTTTCTGAATGGCAAGAAGGTCCAGTCAGAGACCAACACCTTTTATGACGTGCACAACCCAGCGACCGGCGCCTTTGGCAACCAACAGTTCCGTTGGGATCACTTCGGCAGGAATCATTTGAGTGGATGAAGAGGAACATATTACAAACTGTGATCCTTGAAGTGTACAACTGCCATGATGTGAGGATGACGTGAATGCAACCAGGCACATCCAAGGTATCGATTCGAGCCAATACACGGTCTTTATGAGGTCTTTCTGGTGCTACCAGCCAGGAAGGAGCCTGATCATTTGCTTTAGACCGGTTCCGTTTGACCAGGAAACATCTGTTGGTCCGGCTGCGGCGCTCTGCTCGGGTACCGTGGCTCCTCGGGGCTCCTGGGGTAGCCGTGGCTCTCTCCAGGCGAGCTCATCGCGCGGACGCCGCAGTGTACGCCGGCGGAGCCGCTCGGCGACCATCGACAGTGGACGGACGAGGTGGAAGAGGAGAGTTTTCAACTGGAAGAGGAAGGTTCTTGGTGATTTTGCTGCCGAAGCAAGAAACTTAAGGGGTTTTGATGGTTTTGGTGCCCACTGATGGTTTGGGTGATGCACAGAAACAACCTTTTTGATCTACCCACCTACCAAGCGGGCGGCATGAGAACCACAGATGGTGAGCAAGTCATGGGATTTGAAACATCCTCATGGATTGAAATTTCATCAATAGTGGGATGAAAACTTCCTTGGAATCAATTGCCGCTATTAGGTTGGAGGCCAGTGCTTGTTGGAGGCCGTCGCAGTCATCTTGAGTCATGTTGTCACACGTGGAAGGGCGACTGGCCAACCAACGCGACGATATGCCTTGTATCCTGGTCAGACTGAGTCAGACTGGTATATCATAAACCAGGATCAAGACGTTCCTTGATGTCAGATCTTTGGATATTTGGGGTTGCTGGTGCAATCACCAGTGAGGTCATTTCTCAGTTTGTCGCTGTTGGTGGTTGAATTCGCACGGCGTGTCCACATGCATGACATTGGTGCACAGAGATGAACCAGCTCTTAGATGGACAGAGGTTCACCACCATGTCACATGTTTTCTCAACTAGAAGCTCCTACACTTCTTTCAAGCTCCCTGTTCGAAAACAACATTATATACACAATATATTTCACAATATTTCACACATAATCTGTCAAATCATATTCATTTGTCACCCAATACATGAAAGTTTGTTCGAATCATGTCCACTCCCGTTCCCCCGTCCTCGTCCGGCCACCCACCGCCACCCCACCCACCGCAACGAGGCTCTCCTCGGCGGCCGAAAGCTGTGCCGAAGCCTTCAAGACCTGGCGCACCACCCCGGTCTCCACGCGTGCGCGGGTGATGTGCGCCCAGCCTGTTGTCTCCAGAGCCTTTGTGATCGGTCTGAACCGGTGTGAACCGGTGATCTTGGAGGGTTGACCCGGAGGTGTGTGTGACCCAAATCTTAGGCCGGAACGGCCGGAAGCGGTGAAGTGTTTTTGGGGCTTTTGGCCAGATCTTCTGCGCCTTGGACATGAGCTATCATTCGCAGACGCGGTGGATTCCAGCTACCACCAAACAAGGGAACCAGGGACTCTAGTTTTGTTGTTTTTTGTTGATATTTGGTGGGGTTTTCCAAACACTTGTCAACATCAATGTCTCCTCCACGACCATCATGTGCTGTTGAGATTCCATCCGCAAGAGTGCCTCCGTGATCTTTCCAGAATATGTTTTCAAGACCTCCACGACGGTCTACATTCCCTCGTGATGCCTCAAAACATGCGGCAGGAGCACGAGGAGAAGTCAGTATATAATCAGACATCTGGCATGTTCCATCATGTTCCAAGACTTGAAAGTCATTCTAAATGCTAATCTCAAGGAGGCCACTACTGCGTGGCCCGCGTGCTGCTGTGTAACAAGGCCACTTCGAGCGCCGCCCGCGTCGCCAGGCACAAGTTGGAAGGTGCGATTCGAGACAACACCGATGCCTTAGCCAAAGTCCTCACACAGGCGCGGTATGAAAGGTCGGTCGGGCGAGTCGAACCTATAGCTGGGTGGGGTGTGGTCGAACGTCAGGTCGAAGGTCAGAAACCTGCAGGCGATTTTTGACATGGATCCAGGGATTTCGTGGGTGATTGGCGGGTGATGGAAGACATGGTCGTCGCTTGTTCAGCGACAGGAGTCAATGTGGTTTTGCGTGAATTCACGTGCATGAAGACGGCGGGACAGACATGATGAAGTCGGGAATTGCGCAGGTTATGCATATATGAGGATATAAATATACATATTATATATATAACTATATATATATATATGAGGATTGAGGATTTTGTCATTTTTCAGGTTGAAAGCCACAAGCCAAGCCACACCCCACGCCCCACGCGGTGACCTGAGACTCGACCGTTCGTGACCGTCCGTGACCGTTCGTGGCCTGTAAAGGGTCACGTCTCCTACGGACTCGAGGTGCTTATCCTGGCAAGAGACCCCAAACAGTGTGTGTGAGGTCGAAACGAGGTGCTTAACTACACCGTAAGAAGAACCGCTAGGGTTTGTCCACACTGTTTGGGGAAAAAATAGAAGTCACTTTAAAGCTGGAAGAGAAGGGAATAGCCTAGTTCTTGTGTTGCCCTGGAAACTTCTCCGCACGGCCAAGTTAACTCCCGAAGCCCATGTCTTGTGCAACAAGCGATCATACTGCCGGAATGCTGCAGGTGCACTCCGTGCATGGCCTTGCCTCACCTGAACCAGAAGTTCGGGACAACTTAGGATCTGCAATGAAACAACCAAAGAACCAAACCACTCCTCCATGCAATCCGCCGAGCCCCGCCCCGGCCCTACCAGATGATAGACTCGCACAGACGTCATAAAGTATCGAAGTCAAGTTCCGAAATCCCGTGCAACGCCGGAAAAGTCTGAAACATGTTTGTATTGTGAATCGTGGTCAATTCACCGCCCCCGAGTGCTCCAGGAGCAGGGCAAGACCATTGCAGACGCCAAAGGCGACATCTTCCGAGGACTTGAAGTGGTCGCACTGCCCAGGGTATGATTTCTCAGCCATTGTGAAGTACTGCAGCTTCCGAGTTTATCATTTCTATTGACAAAATACCAGAGTTTGTGTATATGTTGTGTAATGTCTACAAACATTTTGTGTTGTTTTTGTGTGTTTGGAGCCCATAAGTTGCTCAGGGTTCAACCGTGAGCTCTCAGATCTGGGGAAAACTGAGGTCGAGATGTCCTGTAACATTCCGTCCATGATTCAAGGAGATGCTTGGCAGAAACTACTTCCTCATAGGAATATCGGACTCAGCTACTCGCAAGAGCTGTTCGCGTCAGCTACTCGCCTTTAGGAATCAGATGATCAGATTCGCCAGGCTAATACATCCAGGAAGAGCCATGCCTCGAAAGGATCATGCCCCAATCTAAACGATGGACGGCAGAGGATGGCAGAGGGCTCTGACTCGGATGGCAGACATTGGAAGGAAGCATCGGCTTTCCACCATTTCTATGGGGTTTCTATAAGCAGTTTAGCTGGCTCTCGGCAAAAGATGCGCCAGATTGGTTGTCGGATATGTTGTGGATATCTTGATCCAAAGAATGGTCTTCCAGGGCATGCTTGAGTCTGGTAAGATGAAAAACATATGCCATGGCTTCATATGGCTTCGCTTCGGCTGCACGACCATTGACATGGGTCCGTGGATTCTCCACTCTGACCGGTTCGTCGTTGTTCGTCGTTGGTCGATGATCGTGTCGGGTGGATCGAGTCATCCGATCGATGACGAAACGACTTCACTCGGTGGTCGAGAGTCCCGGTACCTCCCCGTACCTCACCCTCATCATCCCCTATCCCAAACGCTCCATGTATGCCATATATGGCTACATTGACCCCCCAAACCACCCCAATGTAGGCATATATGGCATACATGGAGAGTCTGGGTATGTATATTAGTCCCTATACTTGAAGCCACAGACCACGGAGCCCCCCGGGGGGCCCAACCACTTGTCCCGGAGCTCCGTGACAGACGCAGACGCAGCCCAAGGAGACCTTGCCCAACGTGGCCAACGGTGTGGATGTGCATTCCTATCGACGCTGTGGCCTGAAGAGTGCAGGCCAAACAAGACAAAAAAAGGGAACACAACAAATAGATTGCTTTTCTTATTGTGTTTTATTTTTGTTGTGTTATTCATGTTCTTATTGGGTTCTATGATGTTCTATGTGTTGTTTTTTGTTTAATCTATGTTCTTACTGTGTTTTGAATTTCCATCGGCATTCGGCCTGAAGAGTGCCGCCCAGCGTCGAAGTGTGAGTGCTAATGTGAAGCGTGGTGAAGCCAGCCTGCGAAGCGTGCGTAGCGGAACCTTGGACGCGGTGACATCTGTCTTTTCCGAAGTGGAGCGGTGTGTTTCTGGGTCTTGGGATGTCTTGGAAAAGCTTGGACAGGTGGACTCCTATTCAGGAAACGACTTGTCTTTGGCTCAGTCCAGCTTTTTTGGTTGGTGTTCAATGGTTTTAGGACATAACTCGCATGCGGCTGTATTTGCTCTCTGTGAGTTGCAGGTTTTTTTTTCTCATTTCGATTGGCTCTCGGACAGTGCCGTCCAGCTCTCGCGCCCCCGGTGGAGAGAAAGAAGTGGAGAAGAATTTTCAAGTTCACTCCCTGGAAGAATGGTCCCTAGGGCTCCTGGCCCACCTTCTGAGAAGATGGTTGGGGTGGGTGCCAGGGGGGTCTAACCACCTTCTATATCGGATATAGTGAAGTCGCCCTAGGGCATGGAAGTGGAGTCCACCACCTGTTTGGTATTCACATTTCATGGTCTTCCCAGGATGTTCGTTTGCACTTCCATCATCTTGGATCAGACCGGATCCAGCAACGGGATGTTGTTGACAGGAGCGGGCAGGTATAGAGATAGGTCGAGATAGGTCTAGGTGGTTCAGAACATACAAGAAGTTAACCCGAGAACTGGAAACAAGACACGCTGTTTATGAGGTAAACATGTTTTTTTCTTTCTTCACCTCATGAACTCTCTTGTATCCAGTCCTAGTTCCCTGCCTTCATACAGCCAATTCCTCGGTCGAAGCGCTTGAAAACCCAGGGATCCCCCTGGGCGTTTGCGCGGGCATTGCGCCCTTCAACTTCCCAGCGATGATCCCGCGACTGAGATGTGCAAAATTGTGCAAGGGTGGGTGGTCAATGGGTGTGCTCAAACCTCCCAGGCAACGACAACCACTGGCTTTGGTTCGAGAGTACTAGGCATGACCAGTCTACCCAGCCTACCTGCACTGTACAGAGCTACATGTAGGAGCCATACTGCTCACTTCCAACTTTTCACAATCTTCGCTCCTCACTAAACTTCACCCATGGCACCGGTGTAAGAACTCGAAAAAAGAAAGAGTTCCACGAAACTTTGACTTTGGCTCAAGCTGGACAGACTGTACGAACAGTGTGAAAAGAATTGACGCAAGAGCAGACTTGATGTGAACTTCTTGTGTTTTGAGTCGGTGTTCGAAGACAGTCTTTTGGAACCAGTCATGGGGAAACAGGGGATCAAGGCAGCTTTGTCGTTTAGAGAGCCCAGCACGCGAGTGCAAAGACGAACTGGGCGACAACGACTCGGGGGTCTGGGTCGTTGGTGAGACGCAAGACTTATGCGAGCAGAGAGTGCGGTTAGGCAGATATGCCAAAGTCTTCGTTGGGAGGTACTATGGAACAAGATAGAAGGCCGTGCAGGGTAGGTAGTATTACATAATTTTGGGGGGATCTTGGGAGTCTGCCCCCTCTCCAGGCAGCTTCGCTTACTTACCTTGCGCCGAAGGAGGTTCCTCTTGCTCACCATGTCTTAGAACCATGTGCACATCAACTATCAGTGGAGGCCTCGAACTGTGGGGCAAATATTTTTATCCATGCGACTAGACCAGTTTCCTGAATGTACAGTGCTGAACAGTATGGCTGCACCCTGCAAGTACCCAAAATTGATAGGGCCATTGGACAGGGTCATGTTACATTTTCCAGTGTACTTAGAAGACAATATAAATCTACAAAATTGAACATATTTTAACGGAATATAACTTCGAAAGCACAGCAATTTCTGATGCATTGGCATGCTTGTCCAACTTACAACTTATATATATATTTTTTTTTTGAGGTGACATATAACACATAATATGTGTGTTTTTCTTTAGCTATCCTGGGGGTCTGATTGATCTCGTTTCGGATCTCGATCTCGATTCCCACCAAGGCTTTGGATGTTCCCACCGGCCACGACCACAGGGAACACCTTTTTGATGAAGCCTTCGGAGCGAGTGCCGCTCTCGGCCACTTGGGGCAACAGGACTCGGGCGTTCAACAGGAAAGAGATGGAGCTTGGTGGTCGTAGTTGTTTGTTGCTGTTCGGAATTAGTTGTCTTTAAGGGATTTTGCAGATTTTTGTGTGTTTATTGAAACCACATCTTCTGGGACATCACGAAAGGTAGCCCTTTAGGGGATACCTTGAGTTTGTCTTGCGAAGCAAGTGTTGGGACGTCCGGGTCTAATAATTGATCGCTCAATTCAGACCCCCCCCCCCTCCCCCCCTCTAAAATCAATTCTCTCCTGGAGAACGTCTTCGTGAGCCTCTCATGATTTCAGGATAGTTGAAACCCTCTTGAACATTTTAGAAAGAGTGAATATGAAATTCTAATCACGAAAGGTGTTCCCCGAGGGGATACATACCTAGAGTTTGTTTTGTGAAGCACGTCAATTCTCTCCTGGGGAGCGTCTTCGTGAGCCTCTTATGGTTTCAGGACAAATCCTATGATGTTCCGATTCAATGCTCACCGATGATCTGAGCCATGGGGCAAGTTTGTTTTCCTAAGAACCTTTTTGAACATTTCGAGAGCATATGTTTGAACATTTAGAGTGCATATGAACATATATTTACGAAAGGTCGCCTCCGAGGGGATAAATCACCATGTCGAACATTGCATTTTTGTTCCTGCCTCTCGCGTTCTCTTCTCTTCCCGCTGTCCTACCTTTCGTGTCTCCCTCCTCTCAAGTAAGAGACATCGTTTGTGTCCCTTCACAATCTATCATTCGGGCCGTTTGGCTTTCCATGAGCAGATTATGTTGTTGGGGGTGTTGTTTCCTCCCAGGAACCACAATCGTCTGGGGCTCACGGACACCCCGGCTCGCCATCCCAAGGGGCGTTTTGAAACACAACCGTTTTTCAGACACGTCCCATGGCAGTTCGGTCCAGACGTTCGCAGTTTCCGGTTGGGGTGTTTGTTTCGTTTCGCCGTGTTTGGTACGGACCACCCCTCACAGCCCTGACCTGCTCTGCCACCCCGACCCGTAGGGATTCCCAAGGCCATGATGTTGGCGGAGATGGCCAGCGACTGTGGTTTGCCCCCGGGCGTGCTCAACGTGGTGCACGGCGGGCACGACACCGTGAATTTCTTGTGCGATAATGAGTCTGGGATACAATGCCCAATTCGACACGACGAGTGACTAGTGGGACTGGTATGTATGCCGATCAGTTAGGGTGGTTGACCTTGGGGGGTCAATGTGGGCATATGTACCAGTCCCATGGAGTGTTTGGGATTTAGACGCGGGGATTGAACCACTAGACCATACCGGCCTTCTGGTCGTTTTGGTTTTGTCAGGTCTGCAAACCTGGAACAGACCCCCCAAATTGTGTTCATGCATGTGTTATTTTTGCAGGTTCCTGATGGTTCTTGACCACGAAGTGGGGTAGCTTCATGAAAGTGTTGTGATGGACTGGGTGGATGAGCTTCCCCTAAAGAGCCTGCATGCAGCAAAGTCTGATGGTGGAAACTTGAGGTGCAGGATTTCGACAGTGTGTGCATTTTGCTATAATGGCTCAAAATATCAGAGCCAAGGAATTCACGGGGATCGCCTAGTTTGCCCCTTCTTTTAGCAGTGGGTTGGGAGGGGTAAAAAAAATAGTGCCGTACTATAGCCAGATGTGCATTTCCAGCGAATTCACCAACCCACCTGCAAATTTCCCCCCGCGACCAGGAGCACATTCGAGCTGTCTCTTTTGTGGGTGGCAATGCTGCCGGCAAGCACATCTATGAGCGTGCAGGAGTGTTTCCCGGCCGCCTTTGGGTGGTCAACGGCTAGTGTCAGCATGTCATCATCAAGGAACTTCAGGAAAACCACATGGCTGCGGGTCAAAACCGCGGAACCCTGGTTGACCACGGAAAGTGAACAGAATGGGCCACTAAGGGGGGCAGCCTGTCAGGGTTTATGGCTCCGGGTTTTGACCGCCACAGCCACATTATCACAGGCTGCTGTGCAGTGACTGGCAGCCCGGGCAGTCATCCAAGTTCCCCTGGAAGTTAGGCTACTAATGCATGTAGACTCGTCATGAATTAAACAAGCAGACAGCAGACATAGATTGTAAGACATGTTTATGCGCGGGGTTGACATGCTGTATATGCAAGAGTCTACACGGGATAGTGGAAGCTCCAACAGGTGCATTGAGAGCTTTAACACGTGTTTTGGAACCTTGTGTTGTTCATGTCCGTAGATTAGTCAAGATGGCCTTGAATTCTTTTGTATCTTGAGACTTCCAGCCAGGCAGAATGAACATGCCGCCTCAGAAAGAGTGGAAAAGGAGGATCTGAGGTGCCAAGCATAGTTGGCCAAGGTCGGCTCAAACCTAACTCCTGAAACACCCTGAAGATGGTGTCGCCTCAAACTCCAAACCAACGGTTTGGTGTCAAGCAACCGATGTCCTAAGCCGTTGGCCGACTGGCAGGACGCAATGGTAAGCGTGCGCAATGCAATCTTGGGGCGAAGAACCATGCGATCGTGCCTTGGAAATAGCTCTTATTCTTGAAATGCCTTGGATAGAATGGTTTTGCAGATTTGGGGGTGTTTCTTCTGGTGCGGAATCCTGTTCGGTGAATCCTTTTCTGGGGAAGACAATCGTATCTGGTGATTTTCTTCTGGGGACGACTCCAGCAGGTTGGAGCGTTTTCTTTTTCTCCTGGCGACAACTTCCGGTCCTTGGAGCTATTAGCCGGATTTGGGGCCCACCATTGATCTGTGCTGCCTCGATTTCCGAACAACAGCCTGCTGTTTGAGTGAGGATGTTACACAAAACAACATCAGATCAAACCGTTCTTTTAATATGCTCTTTGAAGGCTGTAGGGCCGTAGGGTCAAGGTTTGGTTGTAAGATTCCTCCGAAACGGGCAGACCCTTCTGGGTCTTCTCTTCTTGCTGTGTGCGTTTTGCCCTAAAGGGCCCCTCTGGCTGGGTCCTGTTTGAGTAACGACGTGGCAGATTCGCAGTGAACCATCATCATTGACCTGCTGGAAGGGTGAATTGCCGGACGTTTCTCACCTTCAATTTAGCGAAGCATGGCCTGACCCACGGCTTAAATATCTCAAATCAATGATAAACAATGGCAGTGTTGGTGATCGACAGACATTCTTCCGAACCGCACTCGCCGCTTCATCACGGAGACCGCGTGCACCGCACGGAGACTCTTTTGGGAGCTGGAACTGCTATAAAGCTGGCCAAGGGCACCACCATCCACCAATGGAACAAGCTCCACCACGGGACTCCCTCTGTGTGACCTGGAAACCACAGGCCCGTTTGTGACGCGAACCAGATCGAACAGTCACGAAGGGTCACGAACCAGGCACACATACTGTGATGCGTGCTATAGTCCCATCCCTGGGGATTCAAGTACCCAGAAGGTGATTGGAGGCACTGTTATGTAGGTTTGGAGGGTCCAGTCGTACCTTCTGAGGTTCGGTACGACTGGATCCCTAGGGCATACAGATATACACAAAGACTTGATACACGCACATTGTGGTGGCCACCCACTCGTCCATCCAGACATTGCTGCACCCACAAATATGTGCATGCAGTCAAGGATTTAGCATGGTTTCTATGGCACTTTACACATGTCTTGCATCATCAACTTATCAAAGAGTCTTCAACCAGGCCTATGTTGAGTCTATTGTGGCATGGTGTTCCTTTTGAAAAACCTTGACAACACCGGATTCTACACCCCAAGAGAATGGCGGACAGGACTTCATTTGGAGGGTTGGAACGCACTTCACACCCGGATCATCCACTTTCTTGTGGCATGAAGATAAATCCCTGGCCGTACACCTCAAGAAGTACACCTTCTTTAGATCCTAAACTGGCCACACTAAAAACCTTTATCTATATCCCTGGAAATCATCATGGTTCGGTGGAGTGAGTGAAAACCACCTGTTTTGGTCTCCAAACTCGGTGCAACCATCCATCCCCGTAACGGAGTGTAACATGACCAAACTGGCTTCCAAACACCCCCCCAAAATGCCATCCTCCCGGCTCCCGGCAACCCATTCCCAACCAGAATTCCAATATGGCGGCCAGCGCGCGGCCAGCGCCATAGATCCTTTACACAACTAAATGGCGCTGGCGCCACTGGAAAGTCGTTCCAATTCAGAACTGTTTCGGGCAACTAGGGAGTTCCACCCGTTCCGTTCTTGTTTAACCCTAAACCCTAAACCCTGCACTGTTTGCGTTCGCTGCCGCGGAGGTGCTTCCCGACGCCGATCCCGAAAGCGTGGTCAACCAGCTCGTCGGTGCCTCCTGCGGCGCAGCAGGCGGAGCACCCACCGCGCCCGGCAGAAGGAAGGATGCCCAGGTGGTCTAACCCGGTGGGGTTTGGTGGCTTTGATGCGATGTTCCGAACGCTAGTGTTGATCCTTTAACACCCGCGCTTTACCACGATCAACAAAACGGGTGAAGAGAGGTTCTCATGCTTGGTGGGATTTGGTTTCAAGGACATGTGATTGGTGAAACCCCAGAATTCATGAGTTTTGGAATCTTTTTCAGTTCACATCGAATTACAGATGGAGACAGGGGTCACCTTACCGGACTCCTACACTTTTGAGTGCCACCAGTGAGAAGAGTTTGGCTAAAGGTGGAGTTGTCAGCCGACGAGTTCCACAGAAGACGAGTTGATCAATGTGTTTGCTTTCTTCTTCCCTCCAGCTCAGTGTTTGGGCATCCGAAGATTCAAAGGGCCAAGATGCCAATCATACCTTAATACCATGGAATTTGAAACACCCATGATTCCCCGGAAATCAATTCTAGGATTCTACTCAGCCCACATCCACCCAGGGCAAAGGTGCATGGCCATTAGCGTGGCCGTCTTCGTGGGTGCCTCGAAGGAGTCTCCCGGCGCAGTCACTGTGGCCGGGCCTCGGTTGGACGGATGTCAGCGATGAACGTCCGACACAAAATAACTTGTATCTTCATAGACCCGTGCCAAAAAGGCACTGTTTTGTTTTATCTTTTTTCAGAGAGAGCTTGGATCTAGAACAATCATGCAATCCTCACCGTCGTTGGCAGCCATCTCTCTCGTTTGGGGTTACAGTGCCTTGGTGTGCCAATTGTGATCGCTCCTGCATGGGACTGGGAGTCCTCCGGAGTACGGAGTACGGCTCAACGAAACCGTAAGCACTCGACGAAACACCATAAGTGTGGGTTGAGAAGTGCGCATGTGGAGATGTGGTCCATGAAGAATATAAATGATTTAACCTGAAGGTATCTGAATGTGATGTTTCATGACTCATGATTCAATATTATCACACAATTGAATGCATGTTATCTTGTGGCTGTCTCTTGGGGCTCTGACATGAGAGGGCAGGATGCTCCTATGAGCAGGGGTGGAAAGGTAATCATGTTTGTTCCTATCAAATAAAGAAGCTCATCACTTCTGGGTCTCTTAACACTTCTTTTCATTTATTTGTTGAATGCACTTCACCTCTTTGGCTACAACCCCGGCCTCAAACATCCTCCTCCCAACGTCCCCCGCTGCCCAGGTGGATTCAGCGCATCGCTGCCTCGGCGGCCAAGCTCCGCGTGGGTCCCGGCGAGGCGTCGAGCACCGATGTGGGGCCCCTCATCTCACGCCAGGGGGGGCCCCCCGGGGCCCCGGCCCCCCCCCGGGGGGGGGGGGGGGGGGCGCGGGGGCGCGTGCGTGGGTGCGTGGGTGGTGGGTGTGACGGATGGGGAGGGTTTTGGCTGGGAAGAACTGGAAGAACGGGATGGTGGGTGATGTTGGTTGCAAAGAGAAGATAGACTAGAGCTGGGGGGTGGGGCAGAGTTGCGGGACGCAGGTTTGCTTGAGTGATGTGGGACCGGGACCCAAGGTTTTGGAAAGATTTGGTTGGGGAGCTTTGTCTCAGGCAAGTGCAGTTGATCAAGAATTTTCTCAGTTTGAAGTTGTAGAGGACACAAAGGAGATCTGAGTGACGGGATGTCACTGTCAGTGTAGATGATGAACTTTCATGTTGAGAAAGATTCAGTCGAAACCTGCCATCTCTGCAGCCAGTGACCGTGAATCTGCTGGGCTTGGTGTGCCAACATGGATACAATCCCCATAGTATTCGGGCCTGAATTGTCCTCGTTTTGCGGATCGTGTGATTTGTTTTTCAATCTATGAGTGAATCACCTGAGGAAAATTCACCCTCCTCAAACAAACACAGTCACACAACCCCGCGGTTTGTAGAGAGAACATCCCGAACTTCCAAAACACCATCTCCCTTTTTGTCGCTTTGGGAAATGGATTCTTCGCCTTTTGACTGAACGACCCGCTTGCAGGCGAAGAAGAGAGTTGAGGATTTGCGCCTTGGGTGAAGAGGTGGATCGGCCGGGCGTGGTGCGTGGACGTGTCGACCGACATGTTTGGAGCTCCAACAAACATCGAATGAAATTCCATCCCAGCTGCAGAAAAAACGTTTAGATTCGTGATGTTTTTGTGGCGTGCCATAAGGCGTGAAGAGCCGGAATACCAAACAACCGTTGTTTTACTATAAAAGCAGGTCACTTTTTTTGTGGTCATTGACCTCTAGGGGGAAAAACACAACTAAAACCTGAAAGTGATTCTGAGTGAACCTCTATTTTGGACAAGATCAACCACCCAGGGTCTGACTTTGTCTCGAAACGGTCGACCGGTGAGCTAAAAGGAATCACCCCACTCTGTTTGATCTTGCAGTTTGATGTGGCGCCCAAACAAACTCCGCCAAACAGTCGTAACAGCCTGGTATAGGGTACCTTTTTGGCGGCAGCGGGAGGAGTGTAGTTTACCATGGGCCATAAAGGAGTGCAACACAAAGTCTATGACCGAAGGTTTCAACACTTTCAGCACTTGCTAGCTGCTAGCAATACCCACACAGTTCACCCACACTGACAAGAGAAAGACAAAAACAAACAATGAAAACAAGCAAAGAAACAAAACACAAGCAAAAAAGAAAGCAAGCAAAGAAGCAAAGAAACAAACAAACAAGCAACAACAACAACAACAACACCAATCACAACACCAACAGCACCAACAACACCAACGACAAGGACAGCAACAACCACAACAACAAGAACAATAACCACAATGACAGCTCCAAACAACAAACAACAAACACAACAACAAGAACCACAACCACAGCAACAACAACCACAACAACAACAGCCACAACAGCCACAACAACAACAACCACAGCAACAACAACCACAACAACAACAACAGCCACAACAACAACAGCAGCAACAACAACAACCTGTTCCCTAAACCCTGAACCCTAAAGCAAAGGATTTGTGGTCCAATGTGTTCTTCTACTTCCTCCGTGGCCGGCAAGCTCGCTTCCTCCCCAGGATTGACACCGGAGTCTCTGAGGGCGCCAAGCTGCTCTTAGATGGGCGCTCCGCCTCGGTCCCGGCTGCTGGGCGCTGTGAGCGGTGACGCGTGAAAGCGTGCCATCCAACGCCGGCACTCAATTGTTGAATTCATTTTTAGCGGAGTATGACTTCCAGGTGGAGTATTTCAGCCAAACACCGGAAGTTCCGAAAGAAAGTCCATGGGTTCAGTTCGCGGCCGATTTCCGGACACCTCCTATTCGCCATCGATTCGCAAGCCCCTTCCAACACCGTCCACCGATGGACCGCAAGAGCTCAAAGAGCGGCCATGGATCCCTCTCTCTAACACCGAGGAGGCCAACAAGGAGGGCTACTTCGTGGGCCCCACGGTCTTCTCAGAGGTCAAGCGAGGGATGCAGATCTATGTGCCTTCGTCAAAAAGGGGCGATCTGGGCACCTGCTTTTTGGGGCTTGCGCTTATTGGGAGATGATGCTGGATGGGGTCTAAGAGGGTTTATTCGTCAACAAATCAGGTCGTTTCAAGTTTCCATTGTGCAAAGGAATGGAATGAGAATGAGCAGCTGGGACGTTTACCGGCCAACTCTGAAGGCTTTTCAGAATGTTTGAGGATGTTTTTTTGCACTGATAGATGGAATGACACTGAACATTATAGCTAAGGAGACAATCAGAATGGGACAACTATTTTTTCCAGGTGGCAACATACTGTACTTTCAGTTTCCGTCTTTAAGTTATATAAGGTCATGGGATATACGCTGGAATCGTCATGGGCCAATGCGGATGGACAACGGCTGAATGACGATGTTCAATCTGAAGACCAAAGAGGTGGTATTCCAAAAAGTGTACCTCAATAGTAGGTGTTAATCAAAGTCTCCCAATTCGTCGGGTGTCTCCCTATCAACATATACACCCAACCGATTCCCGGTCACAGACCTCGCTTTGCTGGGGTTGGAAATACGAAAAACACTCAAGGAGGGGTAGTCTTTGGACCTCGTCTTACGCAGGGTCAGACTGGCACTGGGCGTTTTAGTATGCGACGTAGAAGATCCAGTTCCATTGCGCTCCATTGCGAAAGGATATGAGTCTATGGAGTCCTCCCGAGTCCTGCTTGTCAGATCAAGATGAGCAACATCTCGTCCTGTTGACAGTCAACTGGACATGTCACATGCATGAGACAGCCAGGGGGTTCTTTGGATGTCAGAGGTGGCGTTTGGAACATGTCTCTCTACTGGTGTTTCATATGAAATCAATTCACCAGAGTGGATTTTCGACATGGAACACCCTCGGACTCCGGATGGGCTCCGGCCGGCTCCGGTGTCCGGCTCCCGCGCTAGTCCGTCCGGTCCGCGTGGATCGACTGCCGATCGAGCCGGCGCCAGGAGAATGAGATTTTCGGACCGGTCTTGGCCTGTGTGGAGGTCGACACCTTTGAAGAAGCCATCCACTTCGTCAACGCGCCACTTGGCGCGGAACCGTTCGCGCGTCGGTTCAGGCGCGCGCACCCAGACGGAAGGACGAAACGGCTGGTCTTCTTCGAACAGAACACGGGTTGGATGCAAGTGATCGAGGTGCTGAAGCTCGAAGGACGTGAAGTGAGGTGAATTTGGAATGTGTCCACCGGTCTTGGTCAGCGAAGGGAGGTTTGTGTTCTACATTGTTTCACCCTCCCTGTGACTATACTTGTAAGATGGAAGTGAAAAAACATACTAGCCGGTTTGTGGAGGAAAATGGTCTTCCAAGCGGGGCATTTTCCGCTTCCGTGTTAGTTTCATCGTCGTTTTGGATCAGCCACCAGGTGAAACAATGGTGACATGCTCGGCCACGGGTGAGTTGATGAGGCAGGTCGTGACAAACAGTCACCGAAGGGGGTTCCATGTGTTTGCCAGTCACCAAGAGATTCTACCTAAGTTGGATCATCTTTGGCTGCTCAATAAGTTTCAATCTCGGAATCTATGGACACATGATGATTGTGTTTGTGTGTTGCATGCGGTTCAGACCATACTGTCGTCTCTTTGGAATCCACGTGCTTCTGCAAAGCCACCTGAACCAACAGCTGCGTGCCAACAGCGCCGTTTCATGCGACCGAGGAACCCCTATGGCAATGGCACCGCCATCTTCACGCGCAGCGGCGCAGCCGCGCGGAAGTTCACCGATGAGATCGAAGCGGGCCAGGCGCAGGGGGAGACCTCCTTCAGTCGGATCCCTTTATACAATACCCATACACTCCATGAATGCCATATATGCCTACATTGACCCCCCAAACCACCCCAATGTGGCAAATGTACCATACATGGAGTCACATGGAGCGTCTGGGCAATATGACTGTGGGTTATTCTGTTCACGTTTTTTGTGAGAAAGACCAAGGTTCCCCGGTGCCACGACCAATCCTATTGTAAGGGCTTCGCCCGGGTGCCGCCGACCCCTTTTCAAGAGGAGTGTAGCATGTGTAACTGAAGGCGTTAGTGTCGTTCCGGTGGTTGCCCGTCTGCGGAAAGAAGATGGGTGTTCTAGCCTTAGGCGTGGCCTCGGACAGGCTATATAACTGTGGCCTGTGCTAAAGCCCACAAAGGTGGAGATGCCAATGCC